GCTAATATGAAGAAAATTATGCTTTTCTTACAAGCACATACGAGAAGAAGTTTGTGCTAAGCACAGAGAGAAAGGGGCTTTATTGGATCAGGCAATGTTTTTAGGAAAAGCACTGAAGTAGGGAAAAAAAGCTTCATAACTCTGGAGAGTGGCTACAGACATGTGCCCAGCAGGACACAGAAGCATCAAAGCAGCAGCACCCTTTCGAGTCTGAGAGAAGTGAGGCTGGGGCAGTAAGCACCAGGATTAGCTTATAACTTACATGGCCTTGATCATCTAGCTCGTTGTTGGTCAGCTTGAGCTTGTCAAAACTGACCACCTGCCTCATCCAGGTGTCTCCAGAAGCCAGTGAGTCAGGGTGGATGTAAACCCTCGGGGGCACTGGGGAGTCAGCATTGCCAGCCACCATCCACTTGGAGCTGTGATACACATATCTGAAAGAGGAAGGGTTGATGGCTAAGGGAAGTTGTCACTCACTCACTCACTCACTCACTCACTCACTCACTCGAGGAACATTTGCAGGGCTCCCCCTCCCCTGCCACCCTACCGCATGCACCCCAAGCCCTCATTTGCAGTCAGGGGAGAATGTGCTTTATTGCAACCTCCTACCTTCTAATGAAAGCCAGATTACCCCTGAGCCACTTGTTCAGACTTGATTCCTTATTAAAACCACCTTTGCAGTTATTTTCCCTGTAAAACTCTGCCACATGTGCCTTCTCAACTCCTTAACCCTCTCTGAGCCAGAGTAAGAGGCTACAAAATATGGTTAAACAAAGCACTCTCTGAAAATATTAATAAATGCCCTGTAATTTCCAGAAATCTGCACTGGCTGTCATCCTAGACTGTGCAAAACACAGAAAGGGCAAAATCCAATGGATACCATTAGAACAACTGATAAAACAGAACTTCTGGTTTGAAATGCTCTGAAATATGAAATTCTGTATAGAATTACAAATATTGGGATTAGAAGAAAAAAAAATTTTTGTGTTCTTTGTCTTTTGTGATCTTCTGTGTTCCTGATCTAGCCATCCTATATATAACACAAATTTCTCTACCACAGCTTTGCCTAGACACTTTTTTTCTTTCTGTCCTGCGTCTCCTTCAGCCGAAGGCATTTCACAAACAGTCCTGCTAACACCTCTGAGTTCTGCCCTGTGCTGCCCTTCATTGGGTCTCTACTCAGCTCTGCTAAGTTATTTCATTCCTTACCTACAAACAGTGACTCATTTCCTGTATTTTCACAAGAAACGCAAAAAAAACCCAAAAGAATCTGTTCCTTTCATTATTAGTTTGCTCTATGCGGCTGCACAAGCTAAAAAGGACACAAACAAAGTGTAAGACAATATATTTATTTTCGACATTAATGCTGTCAGAACCATACTCAAAGAAACGGGAAATACATTTAGCTGGGTGTCAGACACTACTTTGATGCTTCCCAGGAAAAGCAGTTTCCTGAGAAACACTCTGCACAGTCTGAGAGCAAAAATATAATATTTAACATTTGAAGCAGAGGATCAATTCTTGAATCCTTGAAATGTGGTGCAGTTCAGACTATTTTGGGAAAAGACTTGATCTCAGGGGTCTTTTAATGAGTATTGATAAGTCACCTCTGTCTGGATATTCTGGGATGCAGAGGACCATGAGTTTTCCAGAGTACTTTTTAGGAACAGAAGCCCATTAATATCAGAGAAATCTCTTCTTTCTGTCTTTCAGCTCAGTGGTGGAGATTCACCAGAGGGTTTCTCAATGGCTCCACACTGTAGGTCAGGAGCCATATCCCCTTTGGCTGCTGTGCTGGACAGTGAATGCTTTTAAAACAAAAATCACCCAATTCAGTCCAGGTCAGACCTGAGGTGCCCATCTTCATTCATCTGCTACCTGCCAATTCCTTTCTTGCTGAAGTAGTTTTAGAGGCTCCAGACTCCCCATTGATAACTCCAGTTACAAGTTCCTTCAGAGAGTCCTTGCTAATCACGTCAATTGTGAAATGCATGCTAGGGATCTCCCCAATTAAAAACTACTGTCTGAAAAGAGCAAGATTTCAATCCAGAAGTTCAAGAGAGTATATTAAACCTCTGGGTTTGTGTCTCACGATTCTGGCCAAATCAACTATGTTGGTGTAAATCAACATGGTCTCCTCCAGCAATGGTGTATACCTTTGCAATGGTGTATAACGATGTGTGTCTTTCCTAGGCTGTCATTGACAGTAAGTTATCACAAGGTTCCTAGCTCTGTGCCTAAAAAGCTTACCTGTATCTCTTGTTATCCACAGGCACAATGTCCATGGCAATATAATACTGCTGGTGGGGATCCAAGCCTGTAATTTTCACTCTCATGGCTGGAAACATTCTCCTAGGAAAAGAAGAGTAGAAATAAGGAAGAAAATGGTGAATAAGGAAGCTGAAGGGGCTCCTCAGACCTCTCTCTGACACCAAGAGCATGCTACTTTACATAGCCCAGTTCTTGGCATGACTACTCCGGGCTTGCTGTGTGTAGCAAAGACTGTTGGAGTGGTTTGAATCTTAAAATCTTTCCCACTTAAGAAAAGGGGTAGCAGGATAACAACCTGTGGGTAACAATAAAAAACTCCTAGTCGAGCACTCCATCTGTTCCCAGCTCCTAGCAGACAGTTCTGCTATGCTCCACACAAATTTTCCTCTCTAGGCATTTCTAGGATGGGCAGTGTACCTTCTTCCTGCTGTTTTTCCCGCTGACCATCCATTAAACGTAGGATCACTTTAGTTCTCTTTTTTTGAGAAAATCACATTTTAGTATAGAGTTTGATAGTACTGGAGTAATATTTAAAGCAAATCCATCATCTTGAAAGAACCCCCAATTCTTCTGTTGATAGTTATTTAAGACAAAATGTCCCTCAAATTAATCTGCTTATTAGGCATATATTTCACATTTAACAGAAACACTGGCATTATCGTCATGGTTTCCTTGAAGTCCTGGTAGTATTTTGTGCAATCTTTTTAATAAGCATTGTATTTCTATGTGATATGATCCACATGTGTTTTAAGCATTTTCTCCTGATAGGCAAGTTATGAAACTTCACACCAGCAAGAATCAATTCCCAGCCTTTCTTTTCTTGTCTGAGCACAAGTTTAGCTCTGCTGTGCACTAGCCACTGTTCTGGAGGTGTTTGTAGCTAGGCAATTATTTCAGAAGAGAACAGCTCAGAACAATTTTAACCTCAAAGCATGTCAGTGTTAGTGTGGCTATGGCATAATTTCTCCTTAAAAATTTGCTGGTTGCCAGTAGTCCAACTGCCATTCTACACTTCCCTCAAACAGCATGCTGAGTGAATTGTTTATGCCATATTATATTTGCAACTAATGCGGTATTTTAACATCCTCATAAAATCTGAGGAGCAGAACTGGGTGAAGTGCAAAAGGAAACGAGCAGCAGAGCAGAGCACTGAAAGAAATCCTGCACTGTTTCACTGACTGTTAACTCAAACCTGAGCTCTACTTGAGTGGTTTCTCAGCCCTTATCTGAGAAAAATTTGAGCTGAGGTCCTACAGCATGGTGGTGCATGACTTCTGCTAGGAAGATACAGAGCTTTGGTAGGAGAAACTCTGGAAGTACTGAATGCTCATACGAAATTACATTCTGATCCTCTGATAAGTCGGTATGTCCTTATGGAATGAGGGTAGTTTGGATGGAAGGAGGATATTAAAGGGGAATTTAAAATCACAATGCCAATATCGTGGAAAAGCATACACAAAATGTTTGTCCATTGTTTCTAGGGGCCATCCCTAGAAACCATCAAAACACTTTCACACTGTTTAGTGAGAAGCACTAAAATGTCAGAGAAGAAGATTTAGATCTCCTCCCAAGATTTCTGTTTCTCTAAGTATTACCAGTGGACACAGCCTGGAGGAGGAAGAAAACAGGAAAGTTTATGTCAGCATCTCCAAACATGTCTCTCAAACTTTGCACTGAAGGGATACAACCATGAGAAGCTATTTTATTCTTTCCCATTCAGGCCACGTATACCCACTTGCAGAAGAGGATGGGAAGGGGGAGGTTGGTGCTCAGCCTTTGCCTTACGCACTTTCAGGCCACTCAGAAGGAAAGTTCTGACCCATTAGTAATTGCATCTGCCTTGGAAAAGGGCATCTATCACGGGGGGTGGGGAGAGCACCAACCCACAGCTGCCAGGGCACAGCTAACCCAAGTTATGAGAGACATAATACTGTCAGAAAAATTGTCAGCAGAAACCCTTCAAGGAGAGAGCAGATTTGTGCAACTGATGGTGTGAGTTTGCTAGTTGAATGATTGGAGGGTGGGGGTGGGGGATGGAATAATGGATTAGTCTTCAGTAGCTTGAGGGCATTACTTGTTTCTACCACAATGGCTCATTAAATCTGCCAAGCCAAATGGGTACAGGATGTGGCATTTTACAGTCCAGCTCTCCTTAATTGGAGAGACGTGGCTTGGGAGCCGCTTAAGAGGTAGGTCATGTTTCAGAGGGTTGATGAGAAACCCAGGATTAAATCTGAGTCTCTTTGGGTCTAACACTGTGCACTGTATTGGGAAAATTGAATGCCGTGTGTCCCAAGAAGCTCTCTCCAAATCTGCAGCTCCGTGTAAAGTTGCAGCATAGCCTATGGGGTTGTTTCTTATGAAATACCTTGTAAAAGATTACCACAGGCCATTCAACAGGCTTAGAGGCTAATCTCTAAAATGACTGGAGAGGGCTCAGCTGATCCCACTGCTTTCTCTAAGGTTTAAGTGTACTTTTAAAGTTTTGTAAATTATTACTGCTTTTCTTTTTCTGTGGGTGTGAAACTAAGTCAAGTTTATTTGCCATAAGGATGTGGCCTAGAACTGTCACAGCAGGTCTCCAGCAGCACTGCTGCATGGAAAGGGGAAAATGGGAAAGGCAGAGGCAAACAGTGGCGACTTAGGGATGTACTCAGATGTAATCCTGGTTAAGTCCCTGTGCTCTGTTTCCTCTTGGCTGGCTCTTGGCTGCCCAGAGGCACCAGCCCTATAGAAAATGGGAGGCTCAAAGGTCTGGAAGGAATTCAGGCCATTTGAACGTGGCTGTATTAATAAACAGTCAAGAGCTTTTCATTTAGAAAGATACCAGCTAGCTTTATAGTCAACAGCTAGACATGAAGGCTGTCTGTTTTCGTAGGGAACACGTGATGACATATGATATATTTTAGGAGGAGGCTTTATATCAGCAGCAGTTTGGGATGATCAAGTTATTTATATGTTAGCTTTACAAAAACAGGCTTCCTAAACTTAGACTGTGAACTTACACACAGTACCCTTTTAGGGAAATATCATGTGATATGAAATAAGTTATTACAATTTTATTTTAGGACCACTTAGAAGTGTTTTAAAAAGCATTTTTGTAACAACCATGTGCCTCAGTCTACTCAATTCCTGTCTCGTTCTATAACAAGAATGAGTTTTATGAAACTCTGAATGTGAAGAAAAGCAGTAATATATAAAGATCTCTAAAACTTGATTAAAAATTGTATTTGCCAGCACAGTAGTGTACTGATAGTAAGAACCAAGTTTGGGAACTTTCAGCAACAGAAAGAAGTAGTTGGATAGTGGCAGCCGGCATTTTTCTGTTGTTGTTGTTGTTTAAAATTTTCATTTAACACAAAAATATAGCTCAATTTTCCTTTGGGAAAATGTTCAAAAAAAGAGGATCACAGGTATATCCCCAAACTGGATTATTTTTTTTTCCCGATAGCATAAAGCTTTACTTTCTAACCCTTTGGAGTCTCAAGGTGCCAACTCTTATCTCTGCCCCTTGAACCAGCACATGTGAAGCTTGTGGCAAGTGGATCTGTCTTCAAAGTTGCTCTGCTCTAAAAGGAGGCATGGGCCAGAGGACCTCGAGAGATCCCTTCCAACATAAATTCATTGTCTGTTTCACAGCTTAGTTTTAGAGAGGGCAGTTCCCCATTAGGGGATAAGAAATTAAAAGGTACCTGGAGGTTGTCTCAAAATAAAAATGCAATTCCTTGAAGCTCTTCAGACACTGGAAATACTCTTGTACAGACAGCTTAGTGAGCGGAAATCAGATGAGAGTTTAAAAGGACGGAGTGTACAGTTTTAATGACCATTTAGTGTAATGATTTATACACTGCCTAAACAACAACTTAACTTAAATAAGATTAAATTTGCATAAGGGTGACATCTGCTAAATACAAACCCTAAAATGAAGGTCCCTTCACTGAAGAGCACTGTAGGATGTGCTCTTCAATTGAAGCAAAAGACAATTTGTCTATTGACAGTAACAGAGTAGTCATTTCGCAGTCATAAAAAAAAAAAAATCTGATTGAGAAACTGCAAAATAATCTGATTTAGGTTTGCAGATAAAGTATGCACAGTGTTTATAAAGTGCATGAGTTTACAGGGCAGCCTGAAGTTATCATTGCTATTTTATACCTCATATTTCCTTGCATTTAAGACTTGCTAAATGTACATTTCTTTATAAAATCAAACCTGTGAGGAGTGAATCTGAGGGAAGGTAAGGCAAGGCAAGGCAAGGCAAGAATGCCTTTCTTTTTCCCTCTGCAGCGTGGGATCCTGTAGAGGAGGTGTTTGAGTTGAGAGGAAAGGCTGAGGGCAGGGTTTGGGAGCAAAAGGATTTATTGCTTATGAGGGAGAGGAAGCCCAGCAGATCTTCTCAGTAGCTCCAAAAGGGGACATCTTTCTGGAAGCTGGAGAAAGCTTATCTGCCCTACTGGGCCAGGACCTCTGGGCGGCAGTTTGGAAGCTGTGGCCTGCCAGCTCTTGCTCTGAGAAGTCCCCTCCATGGGCCCCTTCAGCATCAACAGAGCTTCACAACAAAATCCCTGCTGCTGTCTCTAGCTGAAGAGTACTAAGGGGCCCTTCCTTCCTTCCACTGGAAATAAAATAAAGCATCTGATAATGTAAGCAGCCCCAAGTACACGTTTCAAACAACTCAGACTCATGGTTTCAGGAAGGTAAAAGAACTCCAGACAAAATACCATTTAACCCATCAGGAGGCACAGAAGAATCAGGAGAGGACAAGGTCACCTGTTCCACTCATTGCTGGCTTTTTCCACTCTTATTACTGAGCCCGGCCTCAGCACTTAGGTTTGAGCCATCCCACAGTACAGATATGATAACTATGATAAGACAGATGAGATCATTTCCCTCACTGTTGAGATGAGATCCTGGTTCTATGACAGGTAGAGCCTGGGTCTCCAGAGGCATAGCTCCTGGCTGTGCTCGTGTGCATGGTTGCACTCGTATAACCACCTCCATAAACAGTAGGGCACCGCTTCCCATCCACAGCAGGACTTCAAGCACTCTTTATAGTGTATCCCCCCAGAAATAAGTGCACACTGCTTTCCCCTTTGGGCAGCACTTCCATGCAGCAGTTAACTAACAGTGACCCCTGCCACTCAGGTGACCGCAGACTTTAGCTAGGGATTGTAGGGGTGTGGGGAGGGATTCAAATTCCTCTGTTGATGTTGCCAGGGTACATGCATGATCACCGTTGGTGAAGGAGAGTAGACAAAAAGAGTTAAAGATGTTCTTAGGACTAGTTGCTTAAATTAGTAGGACCTGAGGCTTAAGTTGAATTTATCTTATTTTATTTTGTACAGAGTCTAAAGTTGCCTTTCAAACAAAAAGGAGATAAAGGGGATTGCAGATATGAATGCACTGCAACTGACAGAAAGCCATTTGCATCTTTTGTACAAACAACAAAGGAGTCTTGTATATAAGCATCTTATTAAATTCTGAATAACAGTGTTCTGATGGAAAGGAAGAAAGGAAAAGTTCTAAGAGGACTGAAGTAGGTTTATGGAAACAGACAAAAAAAAAGACATCTATAAATACAGCATCAAGAAAAGAAAAAACAAAGCAGAATTAAATGTGAGTGGGAGTGGGAGTCTGAAAGTTAAAAAGTGTAGTAGGCCTGACATAGGCAGGATATAGCTCCAGAAATGTGTTTGAAATGAGAACATAGGTTAGAATCTCGCATTACACAGTAAGAGCAGAAAGACATTGTGGGATCAGGCAGGAACCAAGCAGTGCTTTACAAGTCATGGAAAAGTAAGGAGCAGCTGTAGTTATAGGCAATTGAGTCTGTAATTATAAGGGCTTTCAAAACAAGAAGGTCTTACGGGACTCAAACAGGGTTTCCAAAGAAAAAGCAACAAGAAGAGCAAAATCTTCCCTTGGGAAGGAAGAAGTTGCAAATTATACTGTGTGCCTCCCACAATTTCAATAAGTAGTAGGAAATCTTTGGGAAATAACACCAGTTCTGCTATTTTTGCCAGAAATCGTACAATCTAATCTGTGGAATGCATCATATATCGTGCATCCTATATGGAGAAACAGGACTGCTAGACTCAGCTCTCACCCATCACAGATACATCCTCTCTGAAAGAAAAATGCTTAACCTGAGAAGATGAACAGTTAATTTGTTAATTTTATCATATCTATAAGGACCATCCCCAATAAACAGATGTACTACCTAAAGAAACTGCCCAACTCTTCATTATGCTTTGCAATGGTTAATCTACAAATGTAGTCAGCAGAGAAAAAAAATTCCCACTCACATTGTTAACATCACTTCTGGAGAAGAAAATCATCAAGCAGAAAAAATACATATATTTAGTAGCTACATAGATTTTGTGTGGGCAGCCAGTGATTAACCATTTGGCTATTAGGACCCAAGTAATGATAAGCATCTCCTTTCAGGGAGAATGAATATTATTTAGGATTGTAAAGAACACATGATTTGCACAGTAAATTATGACTGTGTATTGTGATATACGGTCTTTTGTAAGTGGAAAAATTATCAAGACTGCAGCTTGCAAAGGCACTTGAGAATGCTATTAAAGGTGTTACAGAAAAAAATCTTGGCAAGAGAAATACTCTTTACGGTCCTTACATGTTTCAAACCTACATCTATTCCCTACTAAAAATTCTCAAAATACATATTGTTTTGAACTCCTTAAAATAAAGTTAGGGTGTCTGTCTTTCTTAACATGTGCTATTAAACATCTCTGACAGCTGCATAAATAGGAAAAGAGATATTTCATCAGAAAATGCAGACCAAGGTTTTCCCCAGAGCATAGAGACCTCTCCTCCAAAACATGAAAACCAAAATGTTTCAGCCAAAATATAAGAAAATCAAACATTTTTCTTTCATTTGGGGCCAGCTTGAAGCAAAGAGAAAAAATCAGGTGGGGGAAGGGATGTTTTGGTTTGGGATGCTTCTTTACCAAATAGGGCTCATTTTTCCTGGCATGGTGTTTCACTGGAATTGTAGTTCAGCTGCATCATGTAGCCACATGGAAGGAACTATGTACATCTCACAGTAATTCTTAATCAGCTTCCTCTTACTACTATATAATTAGAGATACGTATCTATTGTTTGTTATGATGACATGTGATGTGGGAAGCCATATTTGTCAGAAAGGCAATATGAATGGCAAGTTCTATGAACAATAGTTTTACATCAAAAGTGTCAAAATACGTAGTTCCAGCCAGCAAGTAAGAGTTTATAGCTCGAATACAACAGATGACAAATTTCAACAAAAAGGGGTTTGTTTGCTCATTTTTAAAAAACAGCAATACATTCAATATTGTAATTTCATAAAAACTTTTAAGGAACTACAGCATCTTTTTTTGTATATGTGCATCAGTCTGACCAAATAGAAATTTTTCATTTTTTGAATTGACCTAAAGTATTTAATTTCATTATGTTATATCTCCCCAGAATATTTCACTATGTTTTTTTCCAGGAAGCCTTCCTTCTCCAGGACGCCTGCCAATGCTGTCAAGGCTTTTGTGAGAAGTTGCATTGAACTATTTGCAAAATTGCGGTGGCATTGAGGTTGCAACTTTTCTGGTGACTTTTTTAAAACAACACTGTAATTAGGCTATGGCTTTTTTAAGATCCCAGAAAGGTCAGCTACTTCATTCAGAAATGTGTGTGCTACTGAGATCATCTTCATACCCCTAAGCTCTGGGCATTTTAGTGTGCATTGGTGTTGGTGGGCTTCAAGATACTTACGCTGCTGTTAAGTCTGTCTACTCCATGTATCATAAGAGAATTAATTATAGTTAATTCAACAGGTAACAATATATTATTTTAATTTTCTTAGACAGCATGGCCCAGGCACCAGGACAACAAAGTCAGAAGCAAAGAGCTTGATTCTGCCAGTGTCATATTTAATGACACTGGACAGATAATTTAATCTTCTTAGGTCTCAATTTCACCCCCTATGAAAAGAGGATAATAATAATTTTCTCTGCATCTGCTTTAACATCTCCAGACAAAAAGTGTGGCATGATAGCAAGTGTTACAATTCCTGTTACTTTGCCTCTTCCATTTAAGGCAGAAAGGCAAACCCAGCAGCCCAATCTGTACTGATGTAAGACACATCCTGTGCCAATGAGATTGTGTATCTAAAACTGGGAGTTAATCCAGTTTTGATAACCTTCTTCAGGGATTATCTGGGTTGTTTGTCCAAACCAATTTTCCTCAAATTACCTGGACTTCTGGCGCCACTGAGCACCAGTGCTCACATCACAAGAACATGAAGCAACAAGTCTGGTTGTTCTGGCAAGTGCTGAGAGCACAGACATGAAACACAGTTATAAAGTACAGAGGACGGTGTTTGTTGCCCCAAACGTGGGCAGAGCTCCCCTCCGCAGGCCGGGATGGGGCAGAACAGCTCCCGGCACGGTCACGTGGTTTGGTCGCCGTCGCGGGCTCTGTCCATGGTGCTGACTGCCGCCCCGACAGCATTAACCGGCATCAAAGCCCCGCTGGGTGAAGTCAGGAACATTATGTTGGTGCAAACGTGGCTACAAATCCTACTTTGAGGGATCTAGACATTTATAACCAGCTTCAAGTTGTGTTTTGGCAAACCGACTTCTAGCCATTTTTTAATACTAGACGGCAATGAAGATCTTACCCTTGGCTAACAGCATGGCAGGGCAAGGTTTTATTTTTTAAAAAAACGCGGCTGCTTAGTGGCTCTTCCTAACCTCAGCTGACTTGGTATCAGTTGCAATAGCAGAAGGAAACATAAGCCTGCACATTTTTCATACAGGAAGTCATTAATATTTTATCTATTTAGAATTGCAGGAAGACATTAATTTGGTGCAAAGGTGAGTCTGAATTTCACTATATTTGAGATTAAATCAATTGGTGCTTCAGGAACTTCAAAGGAAACTCAAATGGCTCACCCCCAAATTCATAACTCATCTTAAATTCATTACAGCCAACAGTACAATGATCATTTCCTGACTTATTTGCCCAGAGGAAAGATTATCCTCAACAGTTTCCTGCAGCTGCCAGTTCTCCATTGGAGCCACTGATTCAAGCAGTAATATGAAACAACTTTACCTGTCTTAAGAAAGCTAGTAGGAGACACAGCTGTGAAACTCCGACAGCCATCTAATTTTTCCTGCATATTTACTCTTTTGGCTTCTCAAAGGAAAAAAAAAAAAAAGGTTTCTTTCATCAAAAAAAATTTTTTATGTTTTTTTTATTTTTAACTAGACAGAAAGCCAGAGATATCTTACCTGCCTGCTTTTGTGATGATCATCTCTGTCCCAATGTCATGAAATCTTTTCCAGAGGTCAGCACACTGCAGCTCTACCTGGATCTCTTCCATGGATGAAGGTGGAGGAGGCTGAGGGCCTGAGCCACCGGATGTAAGGTCAGAATGGGAGCCAAATGAGCAGGACGTCCTTTCTGCCAGCACCTCTGTGTCTGACCCAGTGCTCTGCTCTGAGTCTGCAAAGTAAACACGCCAGGTGAGACACTTCAGTTCTACCTGCTGTGAGTGGTAAAGGGAGGCAAGAGGAAACTCAACAAGGGAAGTGCTCAAGAACAGTAAATGGCCTTTTATACATCTATATAAACACATATATATTTATGGTTTGTTGTGATTTATGGCCTGATTTGGGGCTTTGGGTTTCCAACATGACATCTGGCATTTTTGTAAAATTTTAGAAACAGCTGAAAAAAGGACCCTCAACATAAAACAAACAATGCTGGGAATGGAGTACAAAATATAGATTAAAAAATAGAAATGAAAAATAATTAATTCAACCCATAGTTTCAATCCAAGACTACATGGGCTCACTGGGAAACTACATTCCATTTAACTGAATATCCTCCCATACTACTATTGAAGAGTTGGTTATTTTTAAACAACACCATTTTTTACCTTTTAATATCCTTGTCATCAAAAATAATGAGCATTTTTTTTATTTTGCTATTTGGCAGCACTATTTTGGAAATGTGCTTTATTTGCTCCTACAATATCTTTTTTGGAGCAATGATACTTCCTGGGAAAATAATCATGCAGCTTTTGGTGAGGAAAATGCTCTAGGCTACTGAATGACGAAAAGGGGAGGTAGTAAGCATATGGAATATGTTACCAAGGAAAGCAATTGAAGCAAATTGCAGAAAAGAGCACATGAGACAACAATCTCTCTTTACGGGAGAGAAGAAGAAGAAGGCTTGCTCAAAAAACAAGCAAACAAAAAAATGAAGTTGGACTAGTCTAAAAGTCCAAGTTGGCATGTTGACTCAGATGGCCACTTCTTTGCAAAAATATCTCATGTATGTATTAGGTAGCTATGGTATATATATGGTCCTAGTTCTCATACGGTAGGTCTAAGACGGCATTTTGCAAATAGCAGTGTTACTTTGCAACAGGGTGCACACTCACATTACATCAAAATAATTCATAATACATTCTGCAAAGCAATATGTTTATGTTTTGAACCTGATTTTTAACAAACTGGCACTAGTATTACATAGATAGAGGAATAAAGTGATGTGAAGCACTCAGTCAAATGGCTCAAGAAGAGCTCTGTGAATTTCAAAGGAGGTACAGAAACAATATTTTTGAGTGTCCTCATTGATCACATAAGTATAAGCATCCCAGTGAAGGAATAAAACAACTATTTATATGTATTCTCTGCACTTTAAGAAAGACAGAGATACCTCTGTCTGCAGGGGAAACTTAAGGAGACAAAATGTAACAATCTGTGTTAAAAATGTGATGAAACCACCCCAGCTAAAATTCCTTCCATACTAAGCAAATGCCAGAAACTCTAATAACCCTGAGGTCATGCAGGCTGAGTCTCAGATTTACAGTGTTTCTGAGAGACAGTGTCTCCCAGAGCAGCTTGGACATCCGTGCAGAGGGCTGTAGTTAAGAAGAGGCTGGTGGTGAAGATGCCACCTGCAGAACCACCAGCCCCACTTCCTGCCACATGGAAACATTTCTGGAAAATTCATACTGCTGTGGTGGTGTGGACATAAACTGTTTGGCTGATAGCATGTGAGAAACTTCCAGCTCCAAGTGCCATCAGGAAGCATTTATCTTCTGTGAGAACCGTAGGTGATACATCACTGGATAGTGGACATTTTGCTTGAAGAATGTCTTCAGTAAACTTTGGCAATGATTTAGACAATCTGCCAGTACAATGTACAAAATCTGTAGGACATGAGAAAGGTTTGATAGGTATTGCTCCTAATCCATTTTGAATATGGAGTACTTTATGTCCCCCACTGACTTCCAAGTTGGGCTGAAGCAATAACAGGTCTGTCCCTCTAAAGAAGAAGCACAAACCTACCAACAGAGTACTGCTACATGGAGACCAGTATTACGCCCAAACCTCATATTCTAGATACAAGCTGATTCAAGATAATATGAGATAACCTGCTGAGGTTCTGTGACCACAAGACAGAGAATCAATCTGAGAGTACAGAGGCGCTGAGACATTTGCTCCCTGCTTCGGGAGCCCAGTGATGCAGGAGCAAGGTGATACTTATCTGCTTCCTCTAGCTCAAATTATTCCACCTCAAACAGATGGAGTGGGTGAACCTGAGTAGGGCTCACTATGCTTAAGACATTTGTTTTCCTAGTGATGGTTAATCACTTTATCGTTCAACAAAAAGCAAGAGTATGCTTCACAAATCACAGTAAAACCTTTTTGTATGTCTACTGATGTGCTGAACCATTAACCAAAAGTCTTACATCTTCTCTGATGTCCTAAGAAAGTAAAGGTAAACTACACCGGGACTCTGAAGAGACGGGACCTAGAGAAAAGCTTCCATTATGGAGTCCTCCTCCCGCAATGAGGTACTAAACTGCAGGTTTGAATCTAAAGAGACTGGTTTGGGGGCCACATCATCTGTGCTTGGTTCAGGCACTCAGAAACTCTGTGCATCCTCTGAAGCACTACGGTAAATGGCCAACAGATGGCACTTGGCTAAATACTGTCCCTGCACCATTCCACCATTTCCTGGGCAGCCTTTCAAACTGGGCATGTGGCTGGAGCCTTGGGGATCCCTGGGAACTGACTGGAATTGCATGCTGCAGAAAATTAAACATCAGAGGCTTAAGCCCCCTCTGACTGATTTTATGCTGACATCACTCCACTGACTTTACGGATTTCTGGAGGGGGTTTTTTGACAATGATGGAAGTGAAAAGAAGAGCCACAACCTTGCATACAATTTGCCATGCTGGCACAAATCAAAAATTGCAAAAGGAATTCACTAATTACTGATAATCCAATATCTACCCAACCATGCAGTACCACACAAAGGAGAAAAGAACTTTTTTTCTTCCAAGGACTATTATTTTGTGCCCTGAAATATGATCTATAATTACCCCCAAATTAGTGCACAGAACAGCAAGTACCTCTCCTTCCTCCAATTTTGGAAATGGGGGAGGGAGAGTCACTAGTATTGCTGTTCTTGGTTCAGTCTCAGTAGGGACTGCGATGAGTTTTGTGTTTTCTACAGCCTTTCCTGAGCTAAGCCCTCCTGAATGGTGTCATCCAGTTGGAGACACTGAGTTCATTCCAGACCCAGGGAATTCAGGGGAAGCGCATGTGACATATGAAAATCATCGTTAATGACATCCAGCTCTATAAGACTCTGTGACTCTTAACTAGAGTTCTCTACATGTGTTAGGATTCTGAATTAATCAAGAGACAGGTGTCAACATCTGTAAGTAAGCAACATACAGAAGGGTGCAGGGTGAACCCGCCTCAGTATGTAGCAATTAATTGCGACGGCAGGCAGCTAGCACAGCTCAAGCCGCTCTGCTGCACATTCTTGCTCACAGTGAAACAAGACAGGAAGAAAATCTGAGTTTTCTTCTGGCATTCAAACTGGGAGTTTGCTTTTCTTCACGCGCCAGCTTCGGTGGGATGCAACCGCTAAACTCAAAGACATTACTTCTACTTTACATAGGTGTAAGCAGAGGGGAATTATGGAATAGCTCCTGAAGCTCCAACAAAATAGAACATGCCTGTGAACACCCTGAGGCGAAGACTGTGGCTGGTATTTCATATTGTGTCTGACTGAAGGACAAACAGAAGGATTTTGGAGGAAGATGAGCTTCCTATAATTTCTTCTAGCTCCAAAGTGACAAGATAAGATTGTTTGCTCTTCCTTAAAAAGATGCCTTGTACAAAGGCCCACATGCTGAATTCAAGATCCAGCCACAGCGAAATGCAGAACCCCTCATGCAGTGGCTTCCTTTCAAAGCTAGGAGACCTTCTCAGACTACTACCATAGGAATGCTGGTTCTCTGGTGCCATGTTAGGTTGCAATCCATGCCTCTTTTGGCATTCGTTAGGCAAGTGGCAATTAAAACAGTTTTACGGTTTTCTCTTGCTAGGGTAGAGTACAGTCCTTGAGAAAGGATACTTCAAAACCAAGCTCATCCATTGCTAGCAACTAGCAAAACTGAGAGTAGATGCAACTGAGGTTTCTAAACCTACAGTATTCCACGGGACTTTCAGTTGAGACACTCTCAGTCAAAATGTTCCTCATTGCTTTTACAGGCACCCATGAACTTGCACTTGCTGACCTTTTCTCTACAAGGTCCTTCCTCTTACCTGTCTGCTTGAAGAAGGGCCCTTCCTGCTGCACCATAGGTATTGAGGGGAACATCTCCAAAACTCCTGCTGATGGCATAGTACATATCACTCTGCCTCTTTCATTTCCCTCTTCTTGCAAATATCTTCTAAAACAATCCATTTCCACTCTTGCTGGTTCGTTACGCTGTTTTTTTCTGATGTTTCCACTGATTATTTCTGTTTTTCTATGGAGTGATGTGTAGCCAGAAGAAAACACAGCCATTTTGGTCTGTGTGGAGAAGGATTCGGTGACCACAGGGGAATGCCAGTGCTTAACTCCTCCAGACGAATACATTCTCCCCAGAGACAATAGAGAGAAAAGTTCCTAAAATACTGTCCCTTGTTACAGGCAGCTTGCTGGACAAATAGGCTGACCAAGTGTTGTTGACCACGGGACTTAGCCTGATCTGTCAAAAACAGACAGGCTCTTGTAAGCGTTGTGTTTCCAGGAGCTTGAAACTAACTAATGTGACACTACTGAAAACTTCATCAAGAAGACCCATGGGTTCAATGTGCAAAAAAACTCTCTGAGGCCTGAAGCATAGCTCTCTTTCACTGCCACTGTGCAAAAAGGCTGTTCCCTTTCTACTGCCCTGTTGGATGGCTTCCTGTCATCCCTTCTTACCACATCGACCAGCTACTACATCCAGCTACTGCAGTTTAAGAGTGTTGGACCTGGAGGAGAGGAAATTTTCAGCACTTTCAGCAATCTTTGAGCCTACCAACAAGACCACAGGGTCACTTTCAGAGCTCCCAGGGATACCGTGGCTGCTGCTGAGATTACAGAGGAACATTAAACTAGTTCAGATTTTTTCTTTCTTAATCCCTTTCCCATTTCTACT